GGACTGATCTCCTTTAGGATGGACTGGTTGGATCTCCTTGCAGTCCAAGGGACTCTCAAGAGTCTTCTCCAACACCACAGTTCAAAAGCATCAATTCTTTGGCTATCAGCTTTCTTTATAGTCCAACTCACACATCCATACATGACTACTGGAAAAATCATAGCCTTGACTAGACGGACCTTTGTTGGCAAAGTAATGTCTCTGCTTTTTAATATGATGTGTATGTTGGTCATAACTTTCCTTCCAAGGAGTAAGCGTCTTTTAATTTCATGGCGGCAATCACCATATGCAGTGAGCCCTCCCCCCCAAAAAGTCTGCCACTGTTTCCAGTGTTTCCCATATGCAGAGTACATCATGTGAAATGTCAGGCTGGATGAAGCACAAACTGGAATCAAGATTTCCAGAAGAAATATCAATAACCTCATATATTGCAGATGACACCACCCTAATGGTAGAAAGCAAAGAGGAATTAAAGAGCATCTTTGATGAAGGTGAAAGAGGAGAGGAAAAAAATCTGGCATTCAAAAATGAAACATTCAAAAACCGAAGATCATGGCTTCCATTCCCATCACTTCATGGAAAATAGATGTGGAAAAAATGGAAATGGTGACAGACTTTATTTTCTTGGTCTCCAAAGTCACTGCAGATGGTGACTGAAGCCATGAAATTAAAAGACATTTACTCCTTGTCTAGGAAGAAAAGCTATGACAAATATAGGCAGCATATTGAAAAGCAGAGATATTAATTTGTCTGGAAAAGTCAAAGCTATGGTTTTTCCAGTAGTCATGTATGGCTGTGAGGCCTGGACAATAGAAAGGCAGAGCACTGAAGAACTGGTGCTTTTGAACTATGGTGCCAGAGAAGACTCTTGAGAGCCCCTTGACAGCAGGGAGAGCAAGTCAGTCCATCCTAAAGGAAATCAACCTTGAATATTCATTGAAAGGACTGATACTGAAGCTGAAGCTGTAATACTTTGGCCACTTGATGTGAAGAGCAAACTCACTGGAAAAGACCCTGATGCTGGGAAAGATTGAAGGTAGGAGGAGAAGGGGACGACAGAGGACGAGATGGCTGGATGGCCTCACCTACTCACTGGACATGAGTTTGAGCAAACTCTGGGAGATGGTGAAGAACAGGGAAGCCTGGTGTGCTATAGTCCATGCAAAGAGTCGGACATAATTGAGCAACTGAACAACAAAATGCTGGCAAGGATGTGGAACAACCAAAATTCTCCTTCATCCCTTGCTGATGGAAACACAAATGGTACAGCTACTTTGGAAGGCAATTTGGTGGTCTCTTACACCAAGCTAAATAGTCTTATCCTAGAATCCATCAATTGTGTTCCTAGATATTTATCCAGTTAATTTGAAGACTTATCCAGGCAAAACCTGCACATGAAACTTTATACCAGCAATGCTGCTGCTGCTAAGTCACTTCAGTTGTGTCCAACTCTGTGTGACCCCATAGACGGCAGCCCACCAGGCTCTGCCGTCCCTGGGATTCTCTAGGCAAGAACAGTGGAGTGGGTTGCCATTTCCTTCTCCAATGCGTGAAAGTGAAAAGTGAAAGTGAAGTCACTCCATTGTGTCCGACTCTTAGCGACCCCATGGACTGCAGCCCACCAGGCTCCTCCGTCCATGGGATTTTCCAGACAAGAGTACTGGAGTGGGTTGCCATGGCCTTCTCCATTACACCAGCCATAACCAATGTCTATTCAATTGCAACTATATTGCCCCAAACTGGAAGCAACCAAGATGTCCTTCAAAAGGTGAAAAGACAGACTTCCCTGGTGGTCCAGTGGCTAAGACTCCACACTCCCAATGCAGGGGGCCTGGGTTTGATCCCTGATCAGGAAACTAGATCTCATAAACCACAACTAAAGATCCCACATGTTGCAACTAAGACCTGGTGCAGCCAAATAAATACATAAAAATAAATATTTAAGAAATAATGTACTACTATCATTATAAAAAAAATTGGTGAGTGGATGTAAAACTCATATCCAACTCTCTGAGACCCCATAGACTGTAGCCCGCCAGGCTCCTCTGTGGATGGGGATTCTCCAGGCCAGAATATTGGTGTGGGTTGCCATGCCCTCCTCCAGGGGATCTTCCTGACCCAAGGATCGAACTGGGGTCTCCTGCAGATTGTTTACCATGAATGGATAAACTGTGGTGTACCCATACCATGGATGGTATGGATATAATTGGACTATTATTACAAGGGACTATTATTCCTTGATATAAAGAAATAAGCTATCAAGCCACCAAAAGACATGGAAGAATCTTAAATGCATGCTGCTGAGTGAAAGAAGCCAGTGTGAAAAAGATACATACATTGTGATTCCAACTGTATGACATTCCAAGAAAGGCAAAACTATGGAACTTAACCCAGGACTTAGAGGGGAGGGAGGGAGGGATTTTTAGGGCAGTAAAACTGTTGTATATGATACTATAACAGTAGATATATGTCACTATGCATTTGTTGCAACCCATAGAGTGTCCAACACAAAGAGTGAACCCTAAGGTGAACTGTGGGCTTGAATTAATAATATTGTATTGACATTGGCTCAATAATGATGCATCAATATGTAACAAATGTATCTAATGCAAGGTGTTAATAACAGGGGAAACTGTGTATTGTGAGGATATATAGGAACTCTTTGTACTTTCTGCTCATTTTTTCTGTAGACCTGACACTCCTCTATAAAAATAAAGTTCATGAGTTGAGGGAGGAGGGGGTGGGAGATGAGCCAGAGCCCAGCAAGTGGAAAGTGAGAGGACTGAAGGCTTGGTGGAAGGCGCAGGAAGTGCCAAAGCCTGGGGGGCAGCGGGAAGGGAATGTACTTGGTGTGTTTCAGAACCTGCAGGGAAACAAGAGCAGGGAAGGAACAGGGGTGGGCTGCAGACAGCTGTGGGACCTCTCTGAGCGGGAGGACGACCCAGGGGCCATTTGAGCAGAGGTCTGCAATTGCCTGAGAATCACACAACCTGGGAAACAAATTCGCTTCTCTTCGACTTCCCCTCATTATCGTTTGGGGAAACTGAGGCCCAGAGCACGGAAAGTCAACGAGCAAAGCAATCAGCCCTTCAGGTAAGCTCACAAGATCTCATCAACACTTCCACCAAAGAAAAAGCATCTGCATGACTCTCACAGTATCCCTGTGGGGGTAAGGCATTATCATGTTCTGCGGGCTCAGAGATGCAAAGCTACTTGTTCGAGGTCACACAGGGAATGGTCAGTGGCTAAGATGGACTCCCCACCATCACAGTGGCTGGCCGCAAGAAGCATGTTGGAGCTCAACTTGAAGTCATCAGCTGTGCCTGGGACTGGAAGCACCTCTGGGTGCCCCACAGCTGGCAAACAGGGCTTATCAACAAGTGCTTGCCTAATCCAAAATCTGATGAATCACGATGAGCTGGCATACCCCTGAGGCTCCTTCCAGCTAGGAGGATCCAGGACTGTGGACCCCAAAGCGGGTCTCTTGGCGTCTGTGTGGTGGCAAGGCGGTCCTCCTGCAGTGGCCCTGGGCTTGGGGCTGGGGGGGGGGGGGCGGTCCAGATGCTATCCGAGACAAAGTCTCCTGACCCCAGGGAAGGTTTTCAGGTCAGGAGCTGCCTGCACCCCTCCCCACCTGGCTGTGGGACTCTATCTGATTATGGACACCTCCAAGCCTGAACATGGGTGCTGGTATCAAGAGGCCAAGACTGGATACCAGTTCCAGGTTACACCATGAGATGCTCTCCCTCTGATGCCCCCTTGGCTCCCGTTTCCCCCACATCTTGACTCACACATCTCCTCCTGGGTGAGGTTCAAAATTCCACACATTCTCTCTCTCCCCGTCTCACACACACTCACCACCTATCTCCGGCCCCTGCTTTCCCCCTAATAGTTGTTCGTTTGACATCTCCTCCCCACCCCCCATTACAGTGAAAGCCTCGAGGGCAGGGATTTGTCTGCCTGTTGGCAAATGTGTTCCCAGTGCTCACAGAGAACCAGCACGCAGTAACAGCAGGAGTGACAGTCCCTTCCTGGCAGGTCCTTGAGCATGGTGTGGGGCACCTAGGGGGCTGTGTTTAAGATGCTCCCAGGGGAGGTTTGTTGTCACTGGCCCCGCCGGTTCTGGGTCTGTGTTGTCAGATTCCTTGTCTTGAGTCTCTTCACTTACATGAGTCAGAAAAGGCACCAAGCCTGCGGACAGCTGTCAGACCTCAAGCCTCTCCCAGCACGTCCAGAACCTCAGTTTCCCCTCCCCGAAGGGCTTCCTTGAGACAGAGCGTCTCCCAAACTTAACACTTCTTGATGTCATCATGCAAGCAGAGTGGCGGGCCTAACAGTGGATCAGGGCTTGGTGGGTCCCAAGGAAATGAGCCGCCGAGTCTCTCCATCCTTCAGGAGTCCAGGGAACACCACCCGGAGCTCGCCAGACCCATTACCCCCATCCATCAAGGATTCTGGGGACCCTTCTGTGACTGCGGGGCCCATCTCCCCGTCCGTCAGGGATTCCGCTCCATTCACAGCCTCGGATCCCCGATGCCATCCCCCGCTCCGGGTCTTCCCTGTCCTCGCGCGGGCGGGATCCCACCGGGGGACAGCGGGGATCCCTGAGCGTCACGCTGCTGTTGTGGAGCGTGTGTTGACGCCGTCGCCTAGGAGACGGGCGGGGGCGGGCCCGGGGGGTGGGGCGCGGCCTGGCTGCTCGCGCTAGGGGCCGAGCCGGCCGTTCAGGGCCCTGGCGGCCTCAGTGGCCACGGCCGCCGCCGCCCGCCGGCTTATATACCGCGGCTAAATTTAGGCTGCGCCCGGAGCTCGTCCCCATCCGGGACGCGTTTCCGCCGCCGCCGCCTTGGCCCGGCCCCCGCGCGCGCCGCGCCTATAAGGCTTGGGCGGGCCCGGCCGCGGCCCGCAGAGCCGTCCCCGCCCGCCCGCGCCCCGACCAGCCCGGCTTCGGGCAGCCTCTCACCGGTGTCCCGAATCCGCGTCAGCCCCGGGTCCCAGCCATGGCGCTAAGCGAGCCCATCCTCCCGTCCTTCTCCACTTTCGCTAGCCCTTGCCGGGAGCGCGGCCTGCAGGAGGTGAGGGCGGCAGGGACCGCGGGCGGCGGGGGCGGCTGGCTCAGGGTAGCAGAACGTGGGCTGCAGGGTAGGAGAGCGCAGGCGGCAGGCACGGCGGGCTCAGGGTAATGGAAGGCGGGTAGCGGGCCGCGATTCCCGCCCCTCCGCGCGCTCACGCCCGCGCGTATCCCCTGTCACCCGCAGCGCTGGCCGCGCACCGAGCCCGAGGCAGGCGGCACCGACGACGACCTCAACAGCGTGTTGGACTTCATCCTGTCCATGGGGCTGGACGGCCTGGGAGCTGAGTCCGCCCCGGAGCCCCCGCCACCCCCGCCGCCCCCGCCGCCTGCGTTCTACTACCCGGACCCCGGCGCGCCGCCTCCCTATGGAGCCCCCGCGGGCGGTTTGGTGTCCGAGTTGCTGCGGCCCGAACTGGACGTGCCACCGGGACCCGCGCTGCACGGTCGCTTTCTGCTGGCGCCGCCGGGCCGCCTGGTGAAGGCTGAGCCCCCCGAGGCGGACGGCGGCGGCGGCGGCTATGGCTGCCCGCCCGGCCTGGCCCGCGGACCACGGGGCCTCAAGCGCGAGGGCGCCCCGGGCCCGGCCGCCGCGTGCATGCGAGGCCCCGGGGGCCGCCCCCCGCCACCGGCCGACACGCCACCGCTCAGCCCCGATGGCCCTGCGCGCCTGCCTGCACCCGGCCCGCGCGCCCCCTTCCCGCCTCCCTTCGGCGGCCCGGGCTTCGGGGCGCCCGGGCCCGGCCTGCATTACGCGCCGTCCGCGCCCGCCGCCTTCGGTCTCTTTGACGACGCGGCCGCCGCCGCCGCGGCTCTGGGCTTGGCGCCATCCGCCGCCCGAGGTCTCCTCACGCCGCCTGCGTCTCCGCTGGAGCTGCTGGAGGCCAAGCCCAAGCGCGGCCGCCGGTCCTGGCCGCGGAAACGCACGGCCACGCACACCTGCAGCTACGCGGGCTGCGGCAAGACCTACACCAAGAGCTCGCACCTCAAGGCGCACCTGCGCACGCATACAGGTGGGCGGCGGGTTCGGGCTGGGGACAGCTGCTAAGGCGCGCCAGAGGAGGGGCGTGCTTGGGAACCCCCAAAGGGCGTAGCCCGAGGGTTGGGCAGGGGCAAGGTCTTAGAAAGCCCCCTGGGGGCGTGGCTCGGGAGCCTGGGGCATGGGCGCGCCCCTAGGATCCTCCTGGGAGCGTGGCTCGAGACTTTGGGCAGGGGTGCGCACTTAGGAAACCTAAGGGGACGCTGTGTCTGAGACTGTTGCGGAGCCCCCTGGGGGCGTGGCTCTAGACACCAGCAGCGGACAGGGTGCGCCTCGGACCCCCGGGGAGTGAGGATCGCGAGACCGGGGAGTGGGGGGATAATGTGCCTAGGATACCTACAGGTTCAAAAAGTAGCCGGGAGCACTTCTGGGAGCTGGTTAGCGGGTAGGATGGGCGCACCCGAGTAGCCGCTAAGCAGCGGGCTGAGTACCGGGAGTCTCCGGCAGAAGGGAAACTAAGACCCGCTCTCGCCCTCTCTCTGCAGGCGAGAAGCCCTACCACTGCAACTGGGAAGGCTGCGGCTGGAAGTTCGCGCGATCGGACGAGCTCACGCGCCACTACCGCAAGCACACGGGCCACCGGCCCTTCCAGTGCCACCTGTGCGACCGTGCCTTTTCGCGCTCCGACCACCTGGCGCTGCACATGAAGCGACACATGTAGCCCGGACGCCCCCCGCCCCCACCCGCGCGCGGCCGTGGCGGGTCCCACGCGCCGGGCACGGCCCCCTTCCAAACTGTGACTGGTATTTATTGGGCCCAGAGGACCGGGGCCGGGCACAGCGTGGCCACCGAGGGGGCGCCATTCCCCGCCCCGCCCCCCCCACGATGCCCGACCCCCAGCAGAGACTGAAGGCCCGGTGGGAGAAGACCACGATCCTCCTTGACGAGTTTTGTTTTCAAAATGGTGCAATAATTAAGCGTCGTCTTCCCCCCGCCCCACCGGGTCTACACTAGAGGATCGAGGCTTGATGCCTTGTGAAAAATAACGCCTTAATTTGTACTGTGCAACCTTTTTTATAATATTGTACATAGAGACTGTGATATATTGTATTACTGTAAATAAGGAGACTACTGGGCATTTTGACAACCTAGTTGTTTTTAATAAGATTTTACTGTTTTTTTTTTTTTTATTAAAAAAAGTTTTGCATCGTTTGAAAAAAAATCACAGCCCTGGTCCGGCCGCTTGGATAACTGGGGGCTTGGGACACTTGGAAGGAGTGAGGGGATGTGGGGACAGGCAGCTTAAGTAGAGGGCAGCCTGGCAGAGTCTGGGTGAGGGGGGTGCTGACCCAGTTAGCACCCGGGGTTGCCAGTTGCAGCCCCCAGCTGCCAGGAACCTGTGGGTTTTTCTATAAATTTAAACACTGCATTTTAGGACTGAGGGAGTTATTTTAAGGTTGTTCCCTGAGCCATAAATTGCCTCCTTTTCCCTAGAGCTGGAGAAACTGTTTGCTGGTCTCACTGACGTGGCCTTCTCTAGGTTGAAAAAAGTCTTACCTCTTTTTGGAAGCTTCTGAGGTTTTAGCCAAACTTTTATAAAGCACAGACCTTTTCTTTTTTTGGAAGGGGTAAAATGCTGAGTTTCTGACCTGCATTGCCTTTCACTAGTCTTGCCTTTTAGCAGAATTTTTTTTTTTTTTTTAAGATGAGTTCCCCATCCTGTTAGGAAAAAAAAAAAAAGAAATACATGTTTGAGGGTCATGGATGGTGAGTGTTCTTTTCCAGAGGAGAAAACAAGAGGCCCAGAGAGGTAGCTATGGAACAGTGATGTCAGGGTGTCAGCCTGGTCTGTCTGCCTCCCAAGGGTCTCTAGATCCCCCTAGAGTGATTTCTGTAACAAGCTACCTGCTGCTGATGTTGGAGGGTTAGAAGACCCTCCCCAGCAGCCCTTGACAGAGTCACATCAGAGCCCCAATCTTGATTGTTGCAGTTGTCTACTCCAGAAGTCTATCTCGTGAGCAAGACAGGGATCCCCACACAGCACCCTGGATGCCTCGGATCAGGCAAGGAGGTACCGCTCCCTGCCAGGTTCCCCCTCCTCTTCCCCCTTCTCGGAGCCCTGGGTGGGTAACTATGGCCACTAACAATTGCACAAGTTGTTTGCAGAAAGTGAAAATAGCTTGTAAGCAGTGCCTGTTTTAAAAACACTCTTGCCCTGTTGCGACAGAGGCTGGGATTTCCTCCCTCCCTCCCTCTCTTCATCCTTCCTACCACCACCACCCCCCCTCCCCGCCTCCCCAGCAGCCCTGGAAACAGCTGAGAGTGTTTGGCAATCCACAAAAAGCAGAAATGGAAGATGACAATCTGATTCATCTTTCTTGAGTCAATAGCCTGGACCCACTTCCGCTAGCGATGCAGGGCATGCGAGTGTGCGTGTGTGAGCTTCTGTATCCTCTCTCTGCAGCTTTTGCAAAAAAAAAAAACGATTCCAGAGCAGAGCACTGGCCCCCTCCATCTCTGGAAACACCCCCTCTTTGCTCGGAGCTGGTTTCAGAGGCACTAGGAGTAGAAGAATGACTTGAAAAAGATTTTAAGTAATTTTTGGTAGGGTCCTCTGATCTTTCTCATTGACTTTTTGAACTTGGGGTAAAACCATTTTTCTGGCTTGAAAACACCTCCCAGAGGCCCCTGGCTCCAATGAGAGGCTACTTGTGAAGGGACTGATGCTGCTGAAGTTTCTGTTTCCTGAGTACCTCCGACTGATACAATAGAAAGTGTCAGGCTCCTACACAGCTGTACCTTTCAGCAAGAGACATGGGCCTGCAAAGAGCCGGCTCGCACTGATTAATGCAGAAACCCTCGCTTATTGTTTTCTCTGCCCCTCTCTGAAACCCAAAGCTTGACTTACGCCTAACATCTTCCAGATGAGCGGTTCTCAGCCAGTGGTAACCCGGTCTCGAGATATTTGGGGTTGCCACAACTGGGGGATGCTGCTTGCCTCGAGTGGGCGGGCGCCAGGGATGCTGCAGAAGCATTGTAGCAGGCATGAGGCAGCTCCCTCCACAGAGAGTCATTCGGTCCCAGGGTCATTCGTGTCACAATTGAAACGCTCAGGTTCCTGAACCATCATCCTCATTCACCACTTTTATCAGCGAGGAGGGGGCTCCATCTCAGGGAGCAAGCTTCCATGACAGATGATGCTCCCCAGAGAAAAGTATGAGTAAAACTTCACTGCTGGGCACCGTCTCCATCCCTGTGAGAAGACACAGAACACTTTTCCTTCCTGGTGTCCACTTGAGAAAATACAAAGTATTTATTAAAGCAGGAAAAAAAAAAAAAAAAACTTTTTCCCTTCATTCTATAACCCAGTTCCCGTCAAAGGTTTTTTGGAGAAAGGGATTGCTGGTCAGTGATTGAGTTGTTTTCACATGGCTGTGACTATCACTGTATCTCTTATTTTTTTTTCCAGGAAAGATTATAACTTTTTCCATCTATTTTCCTCCATGATATGGTTTTATCATCATTTTAAATGGCTTCATAATATTCCATTTAGATGGGCCAAGAGTTGCTTATGCAAACAAGCACTGGGCGTCTGTGCATACATGCTGGGCCATATTTCAGATTGTCCCCCAGGGCTGAAAAAGATAATGGTTTTGGAGGGCTTTGGGTATTGGCCAGAATGCTCTTCCAAGAGTGACTCCAGTGATGGGGGATAGATATAGGAGCTATTTTTCTCGACCGAGTTTCCTGTATGTCAGGGAGGCCCAGGCATCCTGCAGAATGATGTGGTGTGAAATGGGGGCAGGGAGAGCCTTCAGAGGAGCAGGTGAGTCTCAGTATATGCCTGACTCAGCACCCTACCCCATCAGCCAAGCTGAGGTAGCACACAGACTCAGCCACACCCTACAGAGTTTCAGGGAAACAGGTCAGTGATGAATGGCTCTCAGAGGCACCAGCACGAAGCAGCTGCCTGGACTCATGCTGAGCAGGTGTGACAAGCTCAGGGTTTCTCAACCCCATCACCATCAACATCGGGGCCGGATCGTTCTCAGTGGTGGGGGTGAGGTCAGTGTGTGGGACTTTCAAGTCTTTCTCCCCCCACCACTTCTTTTCATGTTTCTAGATATAGAAACAGACAGACAGACAGATGGATATGATGGATGGATAGATGACTGGATGGATGGATGGATATATAGATATGATGGATAGATATGATGGATGAATGTGGATGAATGCATGGATAGATGATAGATATGATGGATGGATGGATAAATAGATGATGGTTAGATATAATGAATGGATGGATGAATAGTTGAATATATGGATGGATAGATAGATAATGGATGGATATATATGATGAATGGATGGATGAATGGATAGATGGGTGGATATATAGATATGATAGATAGATATGATGGATGAATGTATGGATGGATAGATAGATGATATGATGGATGGATAGATAGATGATGGTTAGATATGATGAATGGATGGATGGACAGATGAATAGATGGATGGATAGATGATAGATATGAAGGATGCATAGATAGCTGATCATCTTTCTTTCAATCTCTCTTCCTTTCCTTCTCTCCACCTCTGTCCCATTCTCTCTCTCTCTCTCTCTCTCTCTCAATCTGTCTCTCTCCTCCACTCATTCATTCAGCAAATACTCCCAGTGCCTCAGTCCTGAGCAGAGTTCTGGGGAAGCAGAAGTGACTCAGCCTCGCCTCATCACCCAGATCCAGTATCCACAAGTGCTTGTTGAATGACTAAGGCAGTGAGAACTTAAGCTGAGCTCCTGGCTGGGGCAGGTGCTTTTATCCCTCGATACAAATTCTTTTACAACCTTCCCACTAAGCTGTGGTGTGTGGGGGTAGAGAATGGCCACCCCCATTTTCCAAATGTGGATAGTGAGTGCCAAGAGAGGACCGCTAGCCCCTAGCCCAGTGCAGGGGTAGCTGGTAAGGGCTGGGCTCAAACCCAGGTTGGCCCAATCTTGACGTCACAGCTCCTACCCACACCTGGAAACAGCTACATGCTAAACTCCATCAAACTCACCCTCTTCCTGCACACTATCTGGCAGGCCTGGAAGCCCCAGTGAGTCCTTTAGAGGCTTCCCTCTGAATATCCTGGAAAACTCATATTTCAGGAAAATCTTGGGCAAAGAAGAGCAGGCTCAGGAAACATAGTGTCTGGGGGAAGGGAGCCTAACTGGGTGGATGGAGTTCCCTGAGATGTTGCAATAAAAAGCAAAAGAAGGGAACTTCTCTGGTGGTCCAGTGGTTAAAAATCTGCCTGCCAATGCAGGAGTCATGAGTTCAATCCCTGATCTGGGAAGATCCCATGTGCCATGGGGCAACTAAACCCATGCCCTACAACTACTGAGCTTGCACTCTAAAGCCTGTGAGCTCCAACCACTGAGGCCTATGTGCCCTAGAGCCCATCCTCTGAAACAAGAGAAGCCACCACGATGAGACCACACACGGCAACTAGAGAGTAGACCCTAGCTCACCGCAACTAGAGAAGGTTCACATGCCACAACAAAGGCCCAGTGCAGCCAGAACACAAACCAACTAGGGCATTGGACCCAGTGGCTCCTCTACATGGACCACACATTGGGGACAATTTCGTCTCCCCAGGTTGTTATCATTCTAGAATAAATCCAAAGATTTCACTGTGGTCCGTGGGGTCCCACCTCCTCCTGCCCAACTCTCTTTCATG